GGTATAGATACTGCATAGTTTTCCATTGAAACACAAATATTTTTTCTTCAAGTTTGTCCAGGGTTTTCTCATGAGTATATGTCTTTGCTGGAGTGTCACAGGTGCTTTTAAATTTTTTTTTCTTGATTGCATATTGTTGATGGCACAAGATGTCTCTTTGTCTTATTACCTGTGCTAACTTTGACCACTTGGTTGAGATAGTGTCTTCCAGATGTCTCCACTGTAACCTTTCTTCCCACCTTTGTAATTAATTAATAAGTAGTTTGTAGGGAGATGCTTTGAAACTCTGTAAGATCCTATTTCTTGTGCCAATTTTACCTACCAGTTTTGATACTGATGTTTGTTGTAATTAATTATTACTCTGATGATTTCCAAAGGGGGATTCTCTAATGCTGTCATTCCGTCTACATTTACTAGTTGGCTTTATTTCCTACCAATTTATTTATTCATCAATCTCCAGTGGGATGCTGGAGCTCACACCCCTTCCTGAGAGTTGTTTGCCCAACCCTCCCAGCTCTGGGTTCACGGATGTCATGCTGGTACTGTAAGGTGGCCTTGGTGAGAGTAGGGACACCAGGGGAATTGGAAAATGGTACAAATCAGATTTTTGTGTTTTCCCCAAGATATCTGGTTCTTAAACATGGTCAAGTATGTCACTCGTTATAACCATGTGGACTCATTTGTTCCTGTCTTATTCAGTGGGGTATAATCTATTATTATTATTACTTATTTTGATGCTCAACTTGTCCCTGATTTGGCCTGTGGGACCTCCTTCGTGCTGTCTTCTGTGTCCTTCTGACCGGAGTCCCATTATGCTTTGAGCATTTCTTTCCTTTCTGGCTCAGCAAGGTGTTCCCAGTTTATCCAGATCTCTCCGTGCCCCAGCCCTGGCCTGAGCCGGTTCTCCACGGAGCGATGGTTCCTTTTCGTGGAGAGCCGGGCACATGCCCCCACTCCTGCTCAGGCCTGCCTCCCCCCGGCCACCGAGTTCTCTCACCCTGCCCAATGCCTTTTTGATGAAGGAAGGAAAGAAAATAATAAATATTTTTTAAAGCAAGGCAGGTAAAGGAGGGGGTGAGGAAGGGGAGGAAGGAGATTTCTTTATATACATTTTCAACTTCCCAGTTTTACCAAAGACTGGATTTAGTCTTCACATGGTCGTGTGGGTCTCTAAGGTGGATATGTTTTATATGGCTGAGAATGTGAAACTTCTCCCGAAGAACAAAATCATCCATCCAGCATGTAGTTCTTTATATACATTTTCAACTTCCCAGTTTTACCAAAGACTGGATTTAGTCTTCACATGGTCATGTGGGTCTCTAAGGTGGTTATGTTTTATATGGCTGAGAATGTGAAACTTCTCCCGAAGAACAAAATCATCCATCCAGCATGTAGCGAGTACCTACTCTGTAAGTGCCTGCCATACTAGGTACCCAGTGCAGAGCCTGCGCTCAAGGAGCTGGAAGGACAGAGGGATGTCCTAAGGCTTATGGCTGATGCGTCCTTGGGGCCTGAGGCATGCAGACATGAGCACCACCTTCAGTCTGGTCAAGGAAGGGAAAGCGAGGCCAGTGAGGCTTTCAGAGGAGCCTAGAATGAGGTGAATTTGGGGATAGCACTTAGCTAGTTAGACGAGGAGGAGCAGGATACTTAACACAGAGGAAGCGAGGCCAGTGAGGCTTTCAGAGGAGCCTAGAATGAGGTGAATTTGGGGATAGCACTTAGTTAGTTAGACAAGGAGGAGCAGGATACTTAACACAGAGGGAAGTGCATCTTAAAGCCAGAGAGAGCTGGCAGACTTGAGGACTGGGAAGTTGCTGGACCAGGCTAGAATCATTACTTCTTCATCCTCTCCAGCCAGTTTTTTAAAGCAACGCCATTTTCCCTTGCAGCCAGGTGTGTCTGTTGCAGGTGACCACCCCAGAGCTCCAGTCTCGGTGTCCAGCACTCCTGCAGTGTCTCATTGCAAAGACACTGCAGGGTCTTCCCTCGGAAGACACAATATTCCTCTCAAGAAATGAGAAAGTAGAACTAGTGGGCGTTTTCCCAAAGAAGGATAGTAAGATATTTCTTCATAGTCAAGTACTTTTTGACTCAATCTTTTTCATTGCAAGTGTGTCCATTGTGAACCCTAAGGATTCCCTCCCGTTCTCATCATGGAGTAGTGGTGTTGCCTTACTCATAAGCAAGTGCAGGAGGTTGGTGACACTAGTTGAATCCTGATCTTTTGATTGTTTCTTATCATTATAGAACACCAATTTCTAATGACTTTGAGTGATGTTTTGAAATGGACAAAGTTCCTTTACTTCTTGCCAGTTATATCTGAGCTATATCTAATCCTGATGATTATGGGGTTTTTCTTGTGTTAAAATCATTGCTTTCAAACATGCTCCTCACATGGTTGTTTTTAAATTTTGCAGACGATACCAGAAGTTGCAGAAGATTATGAAGCCTTGGTAAGAAAATATGATCAATTGATATTGATGATTTAACACTTTCTTCTTTTTTGCATAATTAAGCCCTGTCCTCTGACAGATTGTATAACTTTGCATCTAGATATTTTGAGTGTTTTTTTTTCTTTTTGATGTTCTTATGAACAGGTTCTTTAATTTTTTTTTCTCTTTTCTTTTTGCTTTTGCAGTAGAAAGGGTATTTTACATTTGTAACCACCAAATAATCACATCAGAATTGCTATCCTTGTCCTGAAGCAATGCTAGGCATAATTTTATATATTGCTTTAAATGAAACTTTCCTTTTTGTGGCCTTTGTGATGTTCAAAGTCAAAAGTCTTTGATTTTCTTCAATGACTTGGAAAGAAGATCCACATTTTAAAAAAATATTCAGGATTGAAATAGGCAATGAAAAATCTTTACTTTGAGTCTGAGAAAATACTTGATCACCTGTCTATTAAGTGAATTATATGATAACTGTGTCTGGGATCTCAGAACTTCTATCTTAGAGTTTTCCCTCCTAAGGGGCTTTCTTGTCTACTAAACAGGACAAGTCCAAATATGATCTAACAAACTCTCTAAAGTGGGCTAAACAAATTCCCGTGGTGCCAAGCTTTTAACGGGTAATCTCAGTTTGGGAAGGAAGACCTAACAACATCTCAAAATATGCATTTTATTTTTTAAGCCTACAGAGAAAATTCTCATGACCTCAATATATGATACTGTTCTCAGATCATTCATCTTTCCCTACTCCTCACACATAGAAAAAGTATTAGTTGCAGAAATTGCACTGATTATTAAATTATAATAAAGTGGAAAGCAGTATTGAGTTTCTAGAGTAAAGCTTCTTAAATTTTATTTTGATATATTTAATACAGTAGAAGGACTTAATGGTAATGGCAGTAGATACCATCTTTTATGAGTGCTTACTCTACCCTGGGCACTGCTTCAATGTTTACAATCATTACTTCTAATCCACACTTATATCTACCACACAAGATCAGTATTTCCTTGGTGCAGAAGTTAAAATCAGATGGTACAGCTGGGACTGAAACCTATTTTCTCTCCGTCAGCCTCATACAATTTGCAAATGTAGAGGAATTTGGGGCTCTGAAGCCAAAATGCTTTCTTAAAATTTTGTCAACCAGTAGTTTAAATATTTTTGTATATAGAGATGCTGGACACTTTGACTGTGATCCGTGATTTCCCTTTATCAATCATAGGCAAAATCAATGTTAAGGGCCTTGGTTCTGGTAACAGCACAGTAGTGTGATCAGATCAACATAGATAATTATAAAGTCTGGACAAAATGTGGTAAATAAAACATCTAAAAACAACTATTTGAAGGCACTGGATAGCAACCCAAAGCAGGCAGAAAGAGGGAAGTCAACCCTGGGCAGAGCAGATGGGCCTCGGATGAGATTTATGTGTTTGCAGCTTTTTGCCTGAGAAGACCTGCTCATCCAGGTGGATAGGTTGTCAGAAAGCCTGTCTTAGTAAGTTACTAAAAGCATATAGTTCAGGGCTAGCAGAGTAACTAGATTATTAGTGGGAAATCTATGAAAGAAGGGAAGCTCAGAGAGTGTAACATCTCACATCTGTATATAAATTCTGCTTAAATTCATTGCTGATCACTGAAGTGTGAATGTATATGTGTGCAGAAACTCCAGGACCTGGTAAAAACAGCAAATGAAAACTGGAAGAATTGAGCAGAGATATCAACTGTCACTCACTGCAGATTTTGGAGTTTGATTAACTTCCTGCTAGAACAAAAGCTAGCACGCATCAGAGGAACAAAACTGAATTCTGAGCCTTGGCAATGTTTTGTTCACAACATCTAGTATAACAATTAAAAATTACTAGGTATATAAAGAAATAGGTAGGGATGATCCATAGTTAAAAAAAAAAAGCAGACAGTAGAAGCTGACCATGAGATGACCAAGATGTTGGAATCAGCATACTTTAAAACAACTTTTATAAATAAATTAAAAGAAAGAAATGCATCAGTATAATGAATGCATATATGGGGAATCTTAACAAAGAAATTAAAACAATTAAAAATAACCAAATGTAAATTATAAATCTGAAAATTATAATCATTAAAATGAAAAATGTCCTGTATGGTGGTGGAAGATGGCAGAAGAGACAGTAACCTTGGGGATATATCAGTAAAAATGATACAATCTGAAAAATAGATAAAATGAATAGCAAATACTTGAGCTATGAAATAGTAACAAGTGATCTAAAATACATTTAATTGGAGTCCCAAAATGAGAGGAAAGAGAATGGGACAGAAAAATATTTAAGGAAATGATAGAAAATAATGATAAGAGAAATACAAAGCAAGTTCTTCAGACTGAAGGGACATTGGGATCTATAGGAAAGTATGAAGAACACTGGAAACTGTAAATATGTGGGTAACAATAAAAGATAAACTACAGTTTTCTTCCTTCAAACTTCTTTAAAAGACAAATTTCTTAGCCTGTTTTTGCTTACAACAGAATTTCTGCAACTGAATAATTCATAAACAAATTATTTCATACAGTTTTAGACACTGAGAAGTCCGAGGTTGAGGGAGTGTATCTGGTGAGAGCCTTCTTCCTGGTAGCCACTCTGTAGGGTCCCAAAGCAACATAGGGCATCACGTGGTGAGAGAGCAAGAGTGTGCTAATGTGCTAGCTCAGGTCTCACTTATTCTTATAAATGATTAATGATAACCTGTTAATCCATTAGCATATTAATTACTAGTCTATAAGTAGATTAATCCAGTCACCTTTTAAAGGCTCCACCTCTTAATAGTGCCACATTGGGAATAAAGTTTCATTGTGAATTTTAGAAGGGACATTCAAACCATAACAGCATATAACTGCATAAACCTGAAATTGTAATGCTGTTTTGTAGGATTTAAAACATATGTAGATGTAATATATATGACAATAAGAGGACAAAAGATGAAGGTGTAAAATAAACTACACTACAGCAAGCTTCCTATTGTATAATCTTCCTTTTAAGTAGATATTAATATGTTAATGGTATGCATTGTAATCTATAGAGTCACGACTAAAATATGAATGCAAACAAACATAACTGAAAATCCAAATGAGGATTTAAATTGAACTCCTAAAAAATATTTTATTAACCCAAAAGAAGGTGAGAAAAGAGAAACAGTAGAGTCACGACTAAAATATGAATGCAAACAAACATAACTGAAAATCCAAATGAGGATTTAAGTTGAACTCCTAAAAAATATTTTATTAACCCAAAAGAAGGTGAGAAAAGAGAAACAAAGAACAAAACATAGTTTGGGCAAATATAAAACAAATAACAAATTGGGTGACTTAAATCTAATCATATAAATATATTAAATGTAAATGGACTAAGCACTCCAATTAAAAGGCTTAGGTTGTCAGATCAAATAACAAAAGGATGACACAGCTCTAAGCTGTATATAAGAGATGTGCTATAAATACAAGGGCACATGTAGTTTGAAAGTAAAAGAATGGAAAAACATATATCATGCAAGTGCTAATAATAATGAAACTGAGTAGTTTTATTAATAACAGTCAAAGAAGACTTGAAGACAATGTATTATCAGAGATAAAGAAGGATAATTAATAATAAAAATTGGTCAACTCATTAGAAAGATATAGAACTATTAAATTTGTATACACCTAATAATAAGGCTTCAAACTACATGAAGAAGAAACTAATTAAAGGGAAAAATAGACAAACCCATCATCATAGTTGGAGATTTTAACACAATTCTTTCCTACCTGATAGGAAAACTAGGCAAAATCAGTAAACATAGAAAATCTGATCAACACTATGAAAGGTCTTGTTTTGATCGTCATATATAGAGCATCACACCCATCAATAGCTGAGTACATATCCTTTTCAAGTGCACGTGAATGTTCATCAACATATATCATATGCTGGGCTATAGCAAGTCTCAAGAATTTTCAAATGATTGAAACTATGCAGATTATGTTCTTTGATCACAGGAAATTTGATTAGAAATCAATAACAATAAAATAGCTGAAAAGCCCCACATGTTTGAAAATTAGAAAACTCTCATATTACCCAGAAGTTAAGGAATAATCCTGGTTGAAATTGCAAAATATTTTTAACTCAATGGTAATGAATTTTGTAGATGCAGCTAAAACAGGGATAGAGGGATATTTAACCTTAAATTCTTAATCTGAAAAGAATGGTTAAAGAAAAATCAGTGATCTAAGTTTCTACTTAAAAAGATAGAAAAAAATGTGAAATAAGTTAAGGAGAATAAGAGAATAAGAGAGGAGAATAAGAGAATAAGAAGAGCAGCACTCAATGAAATAGAAAAGAGACAAATAGAGAAAACAAAAGCCAACAATTGATTATTTGAAAATATTTATTAGGAAAAGAAGGAGAAACCCAAATATCAACACCGCGAATTCAAGAGAGGATATTGCTACAGATCCTACTGACATTAAAAGGAAAAGGAATTTTTTGAATAATTTTATGCCAATAAATTAAGAATTTAAATTTTGGCAGGAATGGATAAAGGCCTTGGAAAGCAGAAATTACCAAATGTGTCAGCCATGGCAGCATACAGCTTTGAGTTCCCTTTCAGAAAGAACTTGCTAATCAGCCAGGAGGAGGTCAGTTAGTTGGTAGCTTCCAGCTACAGCACATTTAAGACCCATGGCAGCTTCTGAGCCACAGCTGTGCTCCTCCGAGGCAGACCCCAGTCAGTGAGTGTGGTGGGGGTACCAGGGCCTGGCCATCTGTGCCCATCGTGGTCTCCTCTAACAGACAGTGTTTGTTCTGGAGCCCTCCATCGAGTTGACTGAGACTTGGTCATATCTACATCTGTTTCCTCCCCCTCTTTCCTCTCGCAGACATCAGACCTGCCTCATGGTTTGTAGGCTTCCCATACCCAATCCCACCGTCTGCCCCTCTGTCTTTCAT